GAATTTTCATTTTTAGGCTCACGTTTGTCTTGAAAATAGTTGGAGATGCTTATCCTTTACCCTAGGCAATCTAACATTTAACTAGTGACTGGGATTTTACAGTATTGTTGCTGTATTTTTTTTCAACAGGAAATATACATTGCGACACATTTGTCCTTGGCTCCATCCAAAGATATTCCTTTGCGACATGCCCATAAATTAACCAAATTATTTCAGACTACAAGCAAGCAGGAAGCAGATTTTCCTAAAGCTTGATAGAAAATGCAGTATGGAAGTTTTGGTTGGTGGCTCCTGTCCAAGTGTGCTGTTGAGTTTTGGCTTTTGTAGACAAAGAGAGGTGACTTTTCAGACAGGGCAGACCTAGATGTTTGAGATTGCATGTTCAATTCTATGCAGTGTTCCATCTGCAGGTTCTGTTAGTCCTGAAGGATGAGTGTCATCTGCCAGGGAAACATCCTGCTCAGGAGACAACTCTTTGCTCTCTGGTCTGGCTTTGTTCTTCATATAGTTTAAAATGACATTTCTGTTTTCATGATTTCATAATATTTTAAATGTCTGTGTTATGAAATCATTTTGCCTTGATAAAAAGTTGGAGAAGTTTTATTTTATGCATATCTGTGTAATAGAATAATATGCCTCCCCAAAAAAACCCACTGCATTTTCCATGGTGTTTTCCATTTTTTTTTACCGAGGTGCATTCTGTGCCTGATTTTCACACTCATAAAAGGAATAACAATATTGACATCCCTTAGAAAACGTTCTTAAGTTCCTTTGAGAGCGCTATGTAAGAACTAGATAATGGTGGCTTTGTAGTAAGTGACAAGTACTGACGGACAGTCAGAAGTACAGACAAGGGAAAAGGCCTTTATGGCAGCAAGTGGTAGCTCAAAGGCTGGGTGCAGGTTGATAGACAGAAAGAAAATGCTCTCTCAAAATACCAAATCAAGACAGATTTTCATGTAGTACAATATGAGTGTGTTTCTCTGATTTAGGTGCAAGTCGCAGAGGATAAGGTTTCCAGGCTCATTCTGCTGTTATGCACATACAAATTGTATAAACTTTACTTGCAAGTATGTGTAAAAACTTAAAGTTGTAATTGGTAAGTAAAATTTATTTTGCTCATTTTAAGGTAGAGAAAGGCCGCCTGAAAGAGAGCAAGCCTTTGAATACACTAATTCCAGCAATCTGTCCAAGTTATGTTGTGATAGATTAGTGCATATCCACCACCAAGCAGTTTTCTATTGAACCATAAATGAAACAGTATTTTAGGAAAAATTAATGTATTTTGCATGAAAAAAACAATTTAGCTCACTGGTGTACACTTCTTACATATTTTACTCAACTGCTGGAGGGTATAAATGCACACTTGATGTCAGGATATTCCTATGCAGGATGCATTCCGGAAATTCCTTTGTCTAACTGCACGTGGACTTTTAGACATTGTGCAAGATAATAGTTTGATGTCATTTAGCTGTGTATATTTTATATTGTTACCATATGATGAAACTTCCTTCTTAGAATGTTTGCATATTAATAAAATGCCATGAATAATGATCTTAATTTTAACTCTTTTAAAATGAATTGTTTATTCATTCTTTTTTCCCTTCTAATGATCAATGTTGAAACAGAAAGTGAGACTCTCAGGTTCTGTGTCAAGATAGACTTCAATAATGGTACAAACTAGATGGTAACTTTGGAGGTTGCTTCTGTTCCTTAAACACAGAGCAAAATAAGTTTCACCCAGACTTGTCAATAAAGAAATCTTACGGTGTTTCAAATGCTTCTACCCCTCCCATCCCAGAATCACTTCAGAATTCAAAGAAAATGGAAATTTGCATTCTGCATTGTGTAATGTTAACTGGAGCAATCTGCCTGTTACATTTTAGCAAGCTTAGTTTGCAAGCGCATCAGCTGGAACGGTTTCAAGGGATTTCACTACAGGAGAAGGGGAGACTTGCTATCTAAATATGGTGGAGATAGGGGCAATCTATAGTGGAAAACAGCTGCTAGGGTGCTGGAATACAGCCACTGCTGTTATTAGTAAAGAAACAACAGCAAAGGTGAGAGTAGAAAGAGAAAGTGAAATCAGTATTTGTATTTATTCTGTTGTGTTTTATGGTGAGAGAATGAGTGATAATTTGAAGGACATGAATTTTAGAGCAATTTCAGTTTTATTTCTAGAACAGAAAGAAGAATAACGATTTTGTTTTCTTTGTTCCACATTACTGGCTTTGTACATGTGTATGCAAGTACTCGTTTGCATGTGTCAGTTTGTTTTAAAAGTTGTCCATGTCTGAATACATACGAAGAATTTTGGGAATACTTTTTATATTTGCCTGCACCCTGGAAAATGCAAATGGTATCTATGCTGCTCAAAATGAAACAGAATCTTTTTCCTGCCAAATGTTAGCTGTTTTTTGGTTTTTACTTAATTTCTTCAATGGAAAAAAATTAAATGCAGATCTGAGTATAGTTATAAGAAAAGTATGTTCCTCACTTTCCTTCAGGATGATGCTGAGACTTCAGCTTTCTCAGTTGTAGGATGAAAAATTCTGAATACTGGTTTGCTGTGTCAGAGCACCGGTTTGGAAGGTGTATGTATGCCTTTGTGTTCATGCATACGTAAAATGCATGAGTTTTGTGCAAACTGAGTTCATATTGTTTTGACTGAGGAATTGTCAAGTACATTTTCACTGACTTAGTAAATGTCTCCAAAACTACTGAATCTAAATTATACACATTTATCACAATCTGTATAAATTTGGAGATCCCATGAGTTTAGAATACATGTTGGAAATGTCATGTATTTTGTGGCTTTCAATTCAGCTAATAACCAATGTGAAAATATGTGCATTCCCAGAAGTGGGTGGCTGAATGAGGTCATTGAAAAACGTCTGAAATGTTCCTGGTTTATATTAATTATAAATACTTAGTCTTAGAAAAAACAGAACTGACCCTTGCTCTGCATTTAAAAAGATAATCTGAAAAATATTTGCTTCTGCTGCTGACCAAGAGGGGTAATTTAAGGAGACTTTCGAGTTGTTTCTTCCTTTTCCTGCTACAAGAAAGGACTGAGTGGAACTGAAGTTCTGAGCAAAGATAAATATTTCGTAGGGGGACAAAAAAAGTAATGCTTTAATTGAAGGAGCACTCTTCGGACCTGTGTTTTCTCCAAAAGGCAGTTGTGTTTGGGCATTTGCGCAGCTCTGTTAAGGAACTTCGGTGTGGCCTTTCAGAGGTCAGTGTGGAGCTGAATCAGGTACAGTGTTGCTATGAAACCCAGGATATTTGTATCCTTAATGCTATGAAGGGACAAAGTCTTGTTTTACATTTTTCGATCTGATCATTGCTTTTATCACCAGGCGAATCTCTTGGTCCAGTGAATTTGTTAAAAGAAGGTGATTCCTTAAGAGATTTTACAAAGCCAGATTTTTTTCTGCATGGTAAAAAGTGGAAGTGATGCATTTTTAATCCTTGCTCTTTCTTTCATCTAGGCAAAAAGTTGTTGAAGGTAGTCTTACTCATCCCTTTGCACTGACGTTGTCCGGGGACACTTTGTATTGGACAGACTGGCAAACACGCTCCATTCATGCCTGTAACAAGAGAACGGGAGAAAAAAGGAGAGAAATACTGTCTGCCCTGTATTCACCGATGGACATCCAGGTCTTAAGTCCAGACCGGCAGCCATACTGTATGTTTTACTTTTCTCTGAAACTTTTTGCATGACTCACTTACCTGTCAGGAAAAACATCAATCAATAAAATGGTTAGTGTGAGGTTATAAGGCTTTGAAGACTTGTCAGGGACTTGGTTAAGGTTTAAGTACCCAAATCCTGTACCTTTCTTTCAAAATTCCATCCTGGATTAGTATAAGCTCACACATCATCCCAGTTGGTAACAAAATCCAAAATCCAGTGTACTTCAGTGACATGTTTTGATTTGGAATATCTGAATGAGAATGATAAAGACTCACCTGGCATCTTTTTAGCAGCATTATTATAAAGACAACTGAAAACATGCTTATCATTACTTTTTTTTTTAATAGGTAGAAGTAACACAAAATATGTAATGTTCATGTTTTACTTTTAAGTGTGTTTTTTGTAGTCGAGACTTGATCCTGTTTATCTTCAATATGTAACAAATAGTTTATGAATGTTTCAGTATGGAAGGGATTTAGTTCTGAACTTTTATATGAAATATATGCGCTTCTATTTTTTCTTTATGTATGATGCTACTTCAGAGGAAAACAGGTGTAGAGAACTGAAAATTGAATGAGATTTTATATATTCTGTGTATGCATGTGATTGCGTGTGGTGATTGGTCTAGGTTTTTTTAGGATTGTGAGAATGGGACTTAGAAACAATGATGTGGAAATGTGTATAATTGAGTAGCTATGGGAAGAATAATTTCTTGCCTAGGGAAGATACTTTTGCCATTTGGATTAGCTTCTTTATTTATGCCAATTGTCAAGTCTGCTTCCCTAAAGGTAACGTTTGTTATTCCAGTAAAGTTTATAGAATGTTAGTAAACAGGCTTGAAAGTAAGCAAAAGGAATTTGGGGATCATCTTGGTGATGGAACGTGTGCAAGTTTTCATTGAGGTTTTCAGGTATGCACAGCACCTTGGTTTATCTCACAGCTCTAGGTAAGAGTTTGTCTGTGCTGAATTCTTGTCATTGCTTTTAGCTCAGAGAATGTCCTAGCCTTGGATCATAGTATTTGTGGGTCAGTCACAAAGAAAATGTGGTGCACAGGGAAACAACATATACTGAAAATAGCTCAGATGCAATTAACTTCATTAATATCAAGCTTCAATTTCTTTCTCTCCCTTTTTTCTTATTTGTACCTGTCAGTGGAAGTTACACAAGCCAAATTAGACAGAAGTTTTGTGGTTGTATATTAAAGCAGTTCAGATACTTATTCAAACTATGATTGATTTTGGAGAGATCTTGCACAACTTAAAGTATTTTATTTTTTCTAATAGCCAGCAATATTCTCCATAATTATTTACAGTTATAGTTTCATCTCTTGCTGCCATTTTTTCCCCATGTAGATGACATAGGCGTGTGCAGTTGTCATGTGTCCCCATCCTGTGTCCTGCACCCTGCCCTCATTTTTTTTTTTTTTAACATTTTCAAAATTGCTGACTTTACATGTTGCTCCTCTGGATTTCCTTGTGATTCAGGGATATGTCTTGCTGTGAAAGCTTTGCAGTAGGAAAAGGTATTTCCCACATGCAACACTACTGTAATGTAGAAATTGTACAAATCGTTGTTTTCTCTTCTTGGTCACGCTCCAAGTCCTGTTTTCCATTTTCATGATGCTTAGCAGACCTGGCATCCGCAAAGTTTAAAGAACTGTATAGTGAGAATATGCTGAGCTGTCAGCTCTTTCAAAATCACCTTTCACATGCATCTCAGTTTAGGTGCTCCTAGAAGTAAGATACTGGGGAGAAGGGAATCAAACACTTTTATTTTGTGATTCCTCTGCCTTTTAGTACTAAAGCTTCTACCAGTCATTTGAGATCTATAATTTCTTCCTCATGGAGAAAAGAGCGCTTTAAGGGTTCTAGAAAAATGAAAATAAATCTGTTTGGTTTCTTGAAGTTCACACTCCCTGTGAAGAAAACAACGGTGGTTGCTCCCATCTGTGCCTGCTGTCTCCAAGAGACCCCTTCTACAGCTGTGCCTGTCCCACTGGTGTGCAGCTAGAAGACGATGGCAGGACATGCAAATCAGGTAGGAGCTTGGGTTTTCTATAGTGACAGTGTTGACTTGGTTTGGGTGTGCTGCTTAGACGTTGAGCCTTGAAGAAGTGAGTTGAGAGGAACTGCTTGACACACTGAAACGTCACTCTTGTCCCAGTGAAGATGGCAGAAATTTTTCACCCAAATCTCCTGCCGAACTACCAGAGATGATGATTTTTATGAACTAAAATCCCTTGCATCAGAAATCAGAGAATTTTGACTGTATTTTGTGTCTTTTGACTGTATTTTGTGTTGCCAGTTCTCTGTAGGAATGAAGTAGCATATGGAGCCCATTGCAGAAGAATTTTATTAGAAGTAAGCTATTGTAGGATGTCTTTTCGTTTGGACAGTGGACTGTGGACAAACTTCTGCTCCCTCCCGTTCGCTGTCCAGTAGTGATGCAATAGTGGTGGCCGAGTCATTGCATTCCAGTTGCATCTCAAAGTTAGCAGTATGCTTGAGACATGTTCTGCACATAGATGTCCCAGAAAATTTGTTCAAGGCCATATCTACCTGCCTATGTACTATTTTTGAGATAACCCAGTGAGTTGTCCCTGCTTCAATTAGTTTTATAATGAAATAATCTGTACAGAAAAATTCAAAATTAAGATTTAAACTAAAAATACTGGTTTTATGGTTCTGAAGATTACTTATCCCTGTTTCCCTTTGGGCTGCTCTGTGGGAAAGATTTATGAGAAAATTGCACTGGGAATTGTTTCTTCCTGAGTCTAGTTTGTGTTTCTTGGACATTAATTTTAAAAAGTGAGGCAAGGCTTTGTGCTAAGACACTTGGAAAGTTTACTGCTTAAGATAATTGAGCTAGAGAAAATAAGGTTCTAGGTGGCTGTTCCATGTTACTGGGATGTAGAAGGAGAGGCCTGTTTATTACCAATAGTAAGCTGTTGTCCTGGTTTTAGCTGGGACAGAGTTAGCTCTTCTTTTTAGCAGCTAGAAGAGCTCCGTGTTTTGGTTTTACTCAGAGGCTCACTCTGAGAAGAATGTTGATAGCAAGCTGATGTTTGTGGTTGGACGTGAGACTCCAAGGACTTTTCAGTGTGCCGTGTTCTGGCTGGAGTACAGAGGCGCAGTGGGATAAGGGGGGGCATAGCGGGGACAAGGGGGCCACGATTCCCCTTGTGATTTGTGGTGCAACTTAAGATTGAGGGCCAAACTGGCCAATTAGTATTCCATATCATGCAGCGTCATGCCCAGTATAAAAGTGAGGGACAGCTGGAAAGAAGGGCTTTCTGTGCCTTTGCTCTGTTGCCTTTTTTCCTCTCTCTCCCAGTACTCCCACTCTCGGAGTACTCTCTCTCTCTCTGCCCCTCTCTATTTCGGGGCCTCGCGTTCGTCCAGGATTGCAGCTTCGGGACGAGACGGGCTTCGCATACGAGGGGGTGGTGAGCATCTACACTGTGTATTAAATCATCTGTATTAAATTGTTCTTATCTCAACCCATGGATTTCCATTTTCTCCTTTAATTCTCTCCCTCATCTCTGGGACTGGGGGAGGGTGAGTGAGCGACTGTGTAGGATTTGGTTGCTTGGAGCAGCCTAACCCACGACGGCTGTTTAGGGAATAATAGCTAGAGTATATGCTTTAATTGAAAAATATAACTAGATGTGTGTTTTGTAATCTTGAGTTGAATGAGTCTAGTGGTGCACTTTGAAAACTTGGTTTTATCATTGATCAGAAAGCCTCTTTTAAAAATGTATCTTACAGAAGCAGGCAGTTAACGGAGGAAGGACACTAGGAGGCAAGGTTTTGGAGAATGTTCTGCCAACAGACTAAAAGACACTCTGATGCTTGTCTCTGGTGTGTTTTCAAGGAGTCTAGTCAAAGAGTATAGTCATTTTCTGATGTGGCTTGATTCCTGTGAGTACTAAAGCAAGTGTAGTAGATTCTTTTCATTTGTGAACTTTGTTGTGGTTCGGCCCCAGCCAGCAAATAAGCACCGTGCAACTGCTCCCTCACTCCTCCCACTTGGTGAGATGGAGAGGAGGAGAATGTAACAAAGGCTCGAGGTTCGAGATAAGGACAGAGAGAGGTCACTCACCAATTATGGTCACAGGCAAAACAGGCTGGAGTTGGGGACAAATCAGTTTAATTCGTTACAAATCACATCAGAGAGGATAATGTGAAACAAAGCCAGATCTTGAAAACAGCTTTCCCCACCCCTCCCTTCTTCTGGGCTCTACCTCCTCCCCCACAGTGGCGCAGGGGGACAGGGAATGGGCGTTGTGGTGTCGGTTCATCATACACTGTTTCTGCTGCTCCTTTCTTAAAGGGGGAGGACTCCTTACACTCCCCCTGCTCCAGCATGGGGATCCTTTCCCACAGGATACAGTTCTCCACGAACTTCTCTGACATGAGCCCTTCTCACAGCATGCAATCCTTACCCATCAGACTGCTCCAGCATGGGCTTTTCCACAGAGTCCCCACTTCTTGGGGTGCAGCCGCCTGCTTTGGCATGGGGTCCTCCACAGGCTGCAGATGCATCTCTGCTTCACCGTTAATCTCCAGCAGTGTGGGATCCCTTCCCATGGAAGACAGTTCTCTATGAACTCCTTTGGGCACAGCCACCCACTCTGGCATGGAGTTCTTCATGGGCTGCAGGTGGATCTCTGCTCCACTGTTAATCTCCATGGGCTGCAGTGGGGCAGCCTGCTGTCTCACCATGGGCTGCAGGGGAGTCAGCTCTGGCACACCTCCTCCTGCTCCACCTTCACAGACCTTGGTGTCTGCGTAGCTGTTTCTCTCACATCTCAGTCGTCTCTCTGCTGTAGCCGCACTGGTCCGATGAACCTTGGTGGTCCCAACAGGACGAACTGTGTCTTTTGTTTGTCTGTGAGGGCTCCTTTCAGGAAGCTGCTACTTCTCCTTCTGTCCTATCCTGGTTTCTCTGGGAAAGAATCATAGAATCAGTTTTCTGTTCAGAAAAGCTACGTTTCTAAAGTAAGCTGCACTTTTAAGAAGACTGCAGCATCTGTTACACTGAGAACAAAGTTGATAAGACACTTTGTTTTAGTTTCTAGCTAGTCGTGGTATGCAGATATCCAGAGTGCTCATGGACTTTTCAACTTGTTTTTGCTAATGACTCAGATGTCCAAGAATTTAGGGGGAGCATGGCCAGGGCCATTGACACCTGAACTGGCAAATGGGTATTCCATACTATGTAACGTCATGCTCGAGCTAAACTAGAAGATTTGTTGGGGACGCTGGTCACCGACAATGGTCACCGTCTCTGGAGGGTCTTGCCTGTTGTTGTGCTCCTGAGATCTACTCTCTCTCTTCTGGGATTGCGGTTTGGGCATTTTCCTGCTCTGGGATCACTAGCTGGGAACTGGCTGGAGATTGGTCGAGGGGTGGTGAGCAGTTGCACCATACGTCACTTCTTTGTATATATTATTATTGTTATCATTATTATTTTCAATTTTATTTTATTTTATTTTATTTCAATTATTAAATAGTTCTTATCTCAACCCATGATTCTTCCTTCCTTTTCCCGATCCCCCTCCTTGAATGGGGAGGGGTCATTGGTCACTGGGGATCAGCTGGCTATGGTTTAGCCCTGGATACAGGTTAAATGTAGGCATGTCCTGAGGTTCCCTTCCTAGGATTTAGTGAGTTTTGTTGTTGGGCTGGTAGTAGTTTGAAGTGTTGTGAGAAAGACAAATTTATGAATAGCTAGCGTCAAGTCTCCAGTAGTAAACCCTTTGAACCTTTCTTACCTTGCAGGGCACAGTCTTCAGGTGATAGCTGCATGCCATCTCCTTTAAGCAGCTTCACCTTCTTCATGCTTCTTATTCTTGCTTTCCTTTGTGCACAGTGAACAGCATGGATTTATTCGTTTCTGACTAGAGCTCTGGTGCACCTTTAGTATAATTTGCATCACTTAATGTGGCTGTTTCCAGGCAAAATAGAGTCAGGATCTATCCATCCTGTTCTGCTTTCATGAAACTTCATGCTCTGCCAGATGAAGGTGCAGTCTCAAAATGTTGGATGACTCCCTCTGCTTTTTCCTTCCCTCTTTGACTTGATTGTGTGGCTCTGTTTAACCACATTCAAGCAAGTCTAGAGGTTTGTTGTGTGTGTTGTCAGTTAATTGTGATTAAATCTTGATCCCAGTCTCTTGTACAATAGCTATCTGTATGCATCCTTCAAAAATCGAGCCAGTTTCTGTAAACAGGGCTCAGCAGCCTGTGTCTCTTGTTTCTGGAAAATACATAATTTCTTTCTGCTGTATTCAGTGTTCCTGGCATACAGCTATTGCTGTAGGCTTTCTAAAAGAATGCCCAAAGCCTCATCTTTTTTCTTAGTGGATATATTTCCCTGTAAGTGGTCACTCTGACTTCCTAAATTCCCTCTGCCTGTTAGTGTTGCATTCCCAAAGGATCTTACTCTCATTGCACATCATTTTCTGATATTATGGTACCAAGTAAGTCGATTGTATAACTAAAATTAATTTGACAGAAATTTTAAAACCTGTCATCCATGGCTGATGCCACAAAGTATTTTGAGTGTAAGCTCAGATACTCCCCACCTTGCCCTCCCAAATTTTTACTAGCTTGACTCTATGGCTATGGAGCTGTAATAAGTAGGATAAAGTAGGACTTCAGCTAATGTTCTTTTTTGTTGTATGTTTTTTAGCTTCAGCAAGGGCACTCAGAGCTACATAATATCAGAATTAGTCCAGATCCATGCAGTTTCTGGAAGCTGCATACCTCAAGGTTTAAAAAACTGTTTTCCACTTTATTTTTATTTCTCATTAAATGTGTAATGCTTTTCTGCAGTATATGGATAAAATATTTCAGTAAAAGCTACAGAATTTTGCTCTACTGGTTATGCAACTCCATTGCTGCAATTTCACTTGGCCTGGACATCATTAGTTTTTGATCCATTTTAATTAAAATTGCTGTACTAGTTTTGGCTAGGATGGAGTTAATTTTCTTCATAGCAGCTCCTATGCTGCTGTGTTTTGGATTTGTGACC